TGCATTTCCGCCTCTTCCAGATATAACACCCAGTTACCAGCTGATGCCATCCTCATGTAAAAACCTGCTCAGGGCAGCACTTTACCTCACCTCAATCCTCAGCCTACAAAAAGAGTCATTTTTGAATACTTACTCCATTCAAATCACTGTACCAGATACTTCCGGGTTTATTATGAAACTTGATCTCATGGGATAAACAATGTAGTTGGCGAAATGAATGGCATACCCGCTCAGTGGCAGGAAATAGTGTGAGACGTTATGTAAGTGGAGGTCAAATGAGGGATAGACGATGAACTAAATATTGAGAGGAAGGAAAGTTTTTTGGTTTGGGAGGTCAGGAAAAGCTTCATGAGGCAATAAGGAGTTGAATTAACTTCCATAGAACTTAGGAAAGTTGAAAGGAGACGAACAACTTCTTTAGTAAAGGAAATGGCAAGGTAAAAGCTGCAGTGATATGTTCGATATGTTTGAGAGATGGGAGTGGATGATCCAGTTAACATAGTTGTTATGGAAATGGAGGAGGTAAGAAGGCTAGAAAAGGCTCTAGACCAGATGAGGGAGAACTTTACATGCCAGGCTAAGACATGTGAATTGGAGATGCAAAGGTAAATAAAACATAGGATTTTGAAAGTCCTGATTTTAAAAGACTAACTCCAAGTCTATGTAAACTGTGTTCTATACAATCGATTTCCCCCTCCTTGTCCTTTCTCACCTGTAGGGAGCTGACACAGGCCCCATCCTTTCTCTTTCTCCTGCAGCCCGCTTTTCATTGGCATTGGTCCCTTCCCCAGCACTTACTAAGAAGAGAGAACATGGAAATAACAATGCCAGTGTATTTCATGAGTTGGGTTTTACCAGTTCCACTAAAAGGCTTAGAGAGAAACAATTCTGAAAGCAATTTCTAGAATTTGGCCTTGGATTATTAAATACTTGTGTCTAGGAGGAGAAGCAAGGGGTGACTCAAAGAGAAGCAAGTGGTGATTCAAAGAGCAATGTGGACATGGTGGTCCACACGTTGGAAACGAGGGGAGATGCTGTGGCCTTTTTCTACTGTACCTGAATTCCTGCCACTGAATCTCGCAAAGGAGGCAATGTGCAAAATGACAGTGGTCACCTTGGTTCTGTCCAGATCTAAGAAGAGAAAAAAGTGAGAAAATTAATAGTAATTTCTCATCTCAGTAGCCAAATTTCCTTCAAGAAAATAAATGATATTACTTTATTTGGAATGAAGTGAGGTATTTGGGGGTTGCAAGTAACAGAAAGCTTAAACCAAATATATTTTTAATTTTTTTCTTTATTTATGATAGAGCATGAACATACACACATGAGAAAGACAAAAAGAGAAAACAGAGATGAGAATTCTCTGCAGGGTCTAGTCACACTGTGACCCCTTCCTCCAGCCCTCTAGCTCCTCAGGTCTAGGGCACTTGCACATGTGCCCAGTATGTTTCAGGTTGACTGAACTGGGGATTCAAGCTGCAGTTGCCATGTGGGTTTTGACTTCTCTTGAGCAGCATACTACTGCAGTGTTAACTTCTTCTGAATGATCACAGAAAAACTTCCCAGACTGAATCTCAGATGTGATGAGGTATGTGATTTTCCAAGCCCAAGACTTATTCTCCTCCATAGAGCTAGGTATTCAGTCAACTCTATTGAAAATGCATTGAGAATGGAAAAGAGGGACCAGCAGTTAGCGTGGTGGCTATGTCGCTGGACTCTCACGTGGTTGACCGTGGTTCAAGTACCGGACCCAGTGGCTTAAATTCACGCCAGGCACCTGCACGTACGTGCCCAAGATCCCAAGAGGAGAATGGAGGAGAAGGGATTGTGGCATGGCCATCCCCCCTGGGGGGTGATTTCTCGCTTTCTG